AGGGTTTTTCCCTGAGAGGGATGCATCAGCAGGCCCGGAATTGGGCCCTTCGTGATGGGAGACAGCAGTGAGGGCTGTCCCTGATGGGAGATGGCAGTGGGCCAGGCCAGGCCCTCTGCAAGGAGATGAGGACGGGCTGACCCGGTGCAGGCCCTCTGAGGGCAGTGATGGCAGACCGGGCTGGCGTTCCCCTGAGACCATCAGGCCGCTGAGCCCAAGCTCCAGAGGAGAGGCAGCGGCGCTGGTGCTGGTGGCTGTGCTGTGGGGCAGCACCGGGCCGTTCCTGCGGAGAGGTGCGGCAGGGCTGGAGGAGGTGCGGCGCCAGGGCCGCCTGCAGCAGCTGCTGGCAGAGATCCGCTTCCTGGGCCTCAACTACAAGGTGCGACCCCGTCCGGGCTCCTGGGCGAGGGAGGTAGCTGGGTGTCAAACTGCCTTTGGGATCATCCCTACCTGTTTACTTCTGGACTTAATACTTTTATTTAAACTGTTAAATATTCCATCTATCATCAGAATTATTTATCCTCTGTAATATTTCATTTACTTTCCTATAGCACTGCTCTTCCCATGCAGAACTGAGACTGCTTTTGTAGACAGCAGGTCATTAACCCTCATATTTTGCATGAAATAAGCACAGTCTGCCTTCTGCAGATTGGGGAACTAAGACGTCGAGCAGCTTGTGACTGGCAGCGGAATCGCCAGCGTGCCGCGTTTCCGCTGCCAAACACAGCACAGGGTGAGCGGGTCTGGGCTCCTTCGTTGCCTACTCACAGGGGGACGCACAGTGAGTTTGCAAGCAGCACCTTGACAGGCTTTTGTTCTTCCTGCAGTACATGGTACCATTTCTGCTCAATCAAGGTGGATCTGTGCTCTTCTACCTCACCTTGGCCTCTGCAGGTTAGTTCTCGTTGCTTTTGTGGAGTGATTGATCAGGATTTTGGGAGGATCAGTGCTCAGCTAAACATCAAGCAACTGTCTTGTAATAATCACAAATAAAACAAGCGTCTTACGATTTGTACAAGATTATCCATTTTAAACTGTTTGTGTTAAAACTGTTCAATTTCAGATCTGTCCCTGGCAGTACCACTCTGTAACTCCCTGGCTTTGATAGTCACACTGGTGACTGGGAGGATGCTGGGAGAGGACATCGGTGGTAAAAGTAAGTCACACTTAAAACATTTCCTCACCTTGTCTCCTGCACCTATTTGCTGACTTAATAGCATGGGCTACCCTCTGGTCTCCTGAAAAACAGCAAACACCCACGATAGTTAAGTAGTAGCTCTTGCTACAGAAGCTGAAAAGGAAGTGAAACAGACTTGTAAGTGGGCAGGGCTAGTACATTTGAAGATAGAACTGGGTATCTAAGCTAACAGGGTTTACAGGCCTGAGCCTTTACCTAACTAGGTATTTAACTGTAAGAGAAGCACTAAATAATATGCCCACCATGGAAAAGGGATGCCACATAAGCTCCCAAATGTCAACACCCATCCCTCTTTCCTTCCCTTACGTCCTACAATAACATTACCCTGCTCAGAAAGTCATAAAACGACAGGAAACTTGAAAGCTTAAAAACACCAGGACCTGGCGCAATAGCTGTAGGAATACACTGAAGTGTTTTTTTGTTGTTTAAGCCTGGTTCTCGCTAGCCAGCCACACAGCATCAGCAACATTTTCTTAGAAACATGCTTTGCTCAATGTGCATGGGCAGTCCAAACATCCAGACCCCTTCAGAACTTGCCTGGTCTGGGTCGTATCCATCCAGACACTTACGCTATCCTATTTACCATGACATTTGAGCATTGTGTATTTAGCAATGAGAAGGTCTGACTGACTAGTGTTGAATTATGTAAGTTCCCAATATATTATTGTACATTTCTAAGGAATGCTGCTCACTGTCCTAGGAGTCACGCTCTGTGTAGCTGGTTCGTGAACGAGACACAGTGAGAAGCAGAGGAAGAGAACCTATTCAGAGGTAACCCCCGTGGCTGATGGGGGGGCGTCTGGCTCAGCGGCAGCCCATTTGGCTCAGTTGGACCCAGGAAGCTGTATTTTGACACATGGGTGTCAAAAAACATGAAAGCGTGGACTGTATTCCCTGAGCACCAGGATGCAACAAGGCATGTTGCAAGGACATCCTATTTAATGTCTTGAGTTAAGGAATTTTTTGTCTGTGGGTGTTTCAAGGCAAGGATGACTGAATCGTCTTGTTCAGCGCTGGAGGGATAATAAATGGTTAATAAATCATTCAACGGGAGCTTCTGGGACCAACTGGGTTTTCTGTAGAAGGAATCTGTTTAGGAACTTTCCCTTTCATGGCCAAGCACGTGAAATGGTCTTCCTTCACTGCGCTCAGCTGCAACATACCAGGTCACGCTGCACAGCCCCTTACACTGAGGTTACCACATCGCTTTTCTCCACTGGAGTCTTGTAGAGTGCCTCTTGTCTGTAAAATAACAACGGTGCAGTTTGTCCTTAGGGAAGGAAGAGTGTTTCTCTTTTCAGTGAAATTATCAGTCCAAAATACCAGGTAGATCACAGAAGAAAAAAATCTTTGTTACCCTTATAATTAATCAGGAGCACTAGGGAGAGAAATACAGAAAGCCTTGCACAGAGAGGGTTAATACAAGAGCTGTTTATTACTACGACTTTTCCTAAATCAGGCAGATGCTCCTAAAACAAGTTAACAGAAACAAGATGTATATATTTTTGGGAACAGATTTGATTGCTGCAAACATTATCCAAGCATTCCAAATCAGAGGGACAACGATGTGATGAAATCTCTTTATAAGTATCTGACATAGAACAAACTTCCCAGCAGGCATTTTGTATATAAAGGCATGTATTCTATTTGGTAATTCTTCCTTCCCAAGTTCAGACACAAAGCAGTTTAATTAGAGTTCAGAAAAGCAGCCATGTCCTCTGCCACATCATCACACCATAGAGATGAGGAAAGGAGGAGGATTTTCTTTAACAAAATTGTGCATCTGATTCATTGTTCACTGGTACTCTGCATCTCAAGCCCAGATGATGAGGGTGCTTGAATTTAGAAGAGTTTGTTAATTCATCAAAAAGCTTGGCCAGTATGTGGTGTTACAGAGATTCACGTGCTTTTGTTATCTGCAGCTGTGCAGATAGCTGTGTACCTAACTGTCCCTCTCCCATCGTGGTCCCTTTGTGAATTCTTCAGAACTCTTTGCTGCCAAGGGAAACATCGTTCAGTACTTTTCATCCGCAGAGTCACTGGCATCCCTTTTCCTTGCCACAGTCTTTTGTGATTTCTCTGTAGTCCATGCCTTTTTGTGGTGAGAAAGAAATACAGTTATTAATGTAGCACTTTGCTATTACAGAAAGATTCTGGGACTAAATTCCTGGATTCCGTTTCCAGTCTTACCACGGCTTTGGTATGCAAACTTGGGTCTCTACATTAAATTCAAAGGCGGTTTATTGAATGCCTAATGATTCTCTCCCACTGCAGAGGAGAGCTGTGAGACTCAAATAATGAAGACTGTATAGCAGTGTGATCTGGGGGCGCAGGGGGGAGGCCAACAGAAATCAGCAGCATCAGAGTGCCCACCCCACTGAGAAATGCTGGCCCAGCCTCTAAAGCAAACACAGGACATCAGGCTCCCCATTGAGCCAAGAAGTCAGGAACCATTAGCTAATTCTTTACTAGGGCTTTCTCTAATTTAAGTTCAAAGGAATTGTTTTCCTTTGAAGTTCTAATTATCCAAAGAGACTACCTAGGCAGAACTGTGAATCACCTACGATATAATATATTCATCCCATTACATCAATTCTAAATGTCCTTATGAAGTTTAAAACGTGAATAACCCATGAACAATAAGGATCTTGCAGACATTTTTAACACACAGTTTTTTGTTTTAAGAAGAACTACTTTTTTCCCTTTTAAATAAAAAAAGATTTAAACTTGTTACTATCTAATAAATGTGTGCAGTCATTTTAGGAATTACATGTTTATTCTGTGCCAGCTTCTAAGCTTCACTTGGCTACAGGCAAGTTCTGCTTAACAAGTTATATTTGGAGGTACTGAATTTTAGTGTAAGAAATCTGAACACAGCCAGGAAGAATCTTACACACTTCATAGAACCCTTAAGTGGAATAAATACCTTACTGTGGTATTTTGGCTTTTGGTATAAGTTCTTCTGCAACTCTCTGGAACAGGAGTAAGGATAGTAATAGTACACACAAAAAAAAATCCGGGAAAGCCTTTGGTATCCTTACTTCAGTGGGAAGCTGTAACTCTCACATTCCAGAAGGGAAATGTTGATTACCCAGATGACAATGTCAGCTTTCTAAAATTGCAAAGCCTTGCAGTTACGCACTGTCCTCTGGTTTCTGAAGTTCCCCCTGGTGGTTACTTTCATCTTTACACATTGTAGAGAGAAGCGCAGTGCTTCGTAAATCTAACAAATGGGACTTAAAACAAGTGACAAAACTGAAGGACTTCCCCAAGCAATTGCTATAAACTATTGATTGATGTGTTCTCACAGGCTGTCTCTGAAGGGCTGGCTCTTGGAGTTGGCCTCCCTGCTGTGCAAAACCTGCAGCACCGATAGATTCTAGTGGGACCATGAGTGCTTCCCTGCAGCAGTGAGACTCCTAACAGGGCAGAAAATAATTTCTCACACCTGATCAACGGGTACGTCCACCCTTGTGTGCTCGTCCTCTTTTACTTCCTGGGCACCTCGCATCTCCTTCCTAGGATCTTTGGTTTTATACACACTTTCTTCTGCAACGAGAAGAGAAGAAAAAAGCTATTCAATGGGTATTGCAGATAGCCATGGCGTGGTCTTGCTGAGGCTACTGAAAGGTCCTTGTATGTGCCCAGATGAGGAGAGGAAAGAAGCAGAAATACAGAAGTTATTGGATGCATCACTGCTTTCTTTCAGTGCATCCACAGGTATTTTGTCCTTTTAGCATCAAAGTAAAGCCAGTCTTCCTCTACACTTACAGCAGTGTCCTTTACCTTGATCAGGCCAGTGCTGCACATTCCTTTTGCTCCTTCTGTTTTGTCCTGCACGGACAGGTTTAGCATGGAAAATGGACTCTTCCTCTTTGAGGCAAGATTTCCTGGCTTGCCTTTGCAGTTGTGGAAAAGCAGCTGGGATTTTGTCTTTCTCTGCAGCTCCTGTAGTCTGCACCCTGCGACTGTCCAGCTGAAAGTATTCATCACACATTTCTGATAGGCCTTCTTGATAAAACAGTGCATGAAACGAGAAGTTTTGCAGGGCAATCCCCTAAACACTGCAACTTTCCCCTGTGACCCTTGATCCTGACTGGTACAAAGCTGTAACACGGCATTCTCTGACCAGGGTTTTAAGTTGATACTACAAGTGAAACAGATACAGGGAACACATAAAACACGTTTTTGCAGTCACCACTACCTGTTGAGTAGGTTCAGCAAGAGCAGAGTCACCAGCTCTGTCCTGGGAGATGGCACAGAGTTCGGCAAACTGAAAACAAACAAAAAAAAGGAAAAGGAAATTTTAAAAGCAAATAGCACAGATAGCACAGGTGCACATTTCAATGGACAATCTAGGACAGCCCAGCTGCTGTATCTGTAAGTCTCTGATGGGCATTTTACCCACACAGTGAGCAGGAAAGATATCCTAGCTCCAGAATGAATTCTCCCTGCCCATCAGCCAAAAAGGAGAAGAGGTAAGTGAGGCCAACTCAAGGAGTTTTTCTTCAGGCAGTGAGATTTAATTCAAGTGTTTTCTGGCCACATTGCTGTCTCTAGCTCCTCTCCTTTGGGAATGGTGCCAGGCAAGGATGCCGTAGGCATGGCAATTGGGAATGGAGATTGCCGTACACATCCACTGCTTATGGAGGGATGCCTGCACAAAAGCAACTGTCATCGTAGCACACAAGTCCCGCGCCAGCTGAGCCACCTACCCTTCTGCGGTATTTTTTGCGCCTGCTTTTTGGGTGGTTCCTGTAACAAAGAAGCAGCAGATTCTCAGCATCAGGCAGAAGTCAGCTGTAGGATGACATGATCTCCCCTTTTCCCATAAGAGAGGGCCCCTGGAGGTGTTTTTTCTCAGCACAGGTAGAGCACACTCCACAGCGGCACAGGTTCCTGTTAAATCACCCTGCCCACCATAGGCCTGTGAAATTCAATGCCCAGCCTAATGGGCAGGTGCTCCTCAGTGCCTGAGGAACACTTAACTGTGAAACACCCAAACCACTTGCTTTCTCTGGCGCTGAACTCTGGATTTCAGGGGTGAACCCTTACACCGAAAGCTTGGAAAACACGTTCTTTCTTCTTAAACTTCCAACACATGAAACAAAACTCAAGCCTTGAAGCAGACAGCACTGAATAGGAGGGCTACAAAAAGGATGGCTTTAGCTGAAGACCACCATGGAGAGGATTCTTTAAGCCACTCAGCACAGTCTACGTACCACAACATCCTGCACGCAGAATCCTGGGGCACCAGCAGCTCAAAGTAAGGCAGTTTCTTGTACTCCTCATTTCCCACTGCCACATAGTAATGGCCATTCACCAGCTCCTCCCCACCAGACACCTGGGTTCCGTCCAGCCTGCAGAGCCTCGAGGAAGAGACAGCAAAGGCTTTAGAGCTGTCACAAGACTGTGAACAACCCCTCAGCATGGAAGCAAACATGTGCAAAGTGGTAAAGAGGACCGAGACAAGTCAGAGAGGATCAATCAAGGAAGTACACCCAGTGATCAGTGAGATGTAGTAGATCCTTGGGTGTCAGTAAATAAATATATGAGGAGAAGGTAGGCTGTATTTGTTGGATAAAAGCCCCTCTCTCTAGACATAAACCCCTTTTTACGCCATACTCTACTGTTTGCTTATTGCTTTTTCACTAGACCACCAGCAACATCAACCCCCCTCACAAAGCACCCAGGACATTGGGATTATCTCTGATTTAAAGATGGGAAAACCTGAAAAGCAAATGAGATTGCAAAAGCAGACTAGAAGTGGCAATCTGAACTCCCAGTCCTCTGTGCGAATCCGAGCTGCTTATGTTCTGGACATAAGGAAAGGGGAGCCAGCAGTGCCTTATCTGGATACCCACTTGTTAACAGCTCCGCTGCGCAGGTCGGCTTTCTCTGTCAGCGTGGCCAGGAGTGCTTCCCACTGCAGTGGGGTGCTCTTGGAGAGCAGCAGTGGGAAAGGAGGGCTCAGCAAATCCCCATTCCGGAAAACACTGCAGTAGAAACAACCCAGAGCGTGCAATGAGCCAGTATTCCTGCAGCTGTGGAAGATGGGGAAAAAAAGCCAGCCACTGGTGCCTGGACAATATTACAACAAATACTTCTGGTAGAAGCTGGGAATTGTCCTTGTGGGGCAGTATTCCCAGGATCTCACAGAGAAATTCCCTCCTCCAGCCTCTGAAAACATTCCCAGAGACCCTCCAAGGAGAAAACACCAAGGCACTTACTGTATCGTGCAGGGCAGGTGGACGTGCTTCTGCCGTCGTGCCAAGACATTCGACTTCCAGGGAGCTACGGTGTGGAACTAGAGACCGAGTTCAGTGCACAAGAACAGCAACAGCCCTGGCACCGAGCCTCCCAGGGCTGTTCCCTTTTCTCCATCGGGAGCTGCCTGCCCTAGGACACTGCCTGCCCTGCCTTCATGCTTGCTGCTGCTAGGTGGGGTTTGTTGTCAGCAACACCAAGGCTGGAGAGGCTCTTCACATAGCTGAGCACATTCCAGAATTGCCAGCGAACCTCTGAGCACAGATCCTTCCCCTGCACTGTTAAGGGGGATGAAGGTACACAGCAGCAGCCCCTGTGCTGTCTCACATGTCCTACCGATTCCTGTGGCACTTTTGCCTGATCTCCACTGGGCACCTCACAGCCTTAAATCTCAACTTCAGTTTTATCGGTGCCAGCCCTAATGTCTCTCATGCCTCCCCGCTCATTCTGCGCTCCCGCCTGCCCCCACTCAGCTCAGGGACTCACCTGCAGACCCTCGTTGTTCCTTGTCCCATGGAGCTCCTTTCTTCCACGATTTAAATAGCTGTGAGAACAAGAAGACAACGTTGCCACACACCAACTGAGCTGTGGCTGACTAAAGAGCAGTGAGAAAATGACCGACTGCTCTGCCTTGAAGCATCGCCACCAGATGCGTGGGTCACTTACTTGGGTCACTTCTGAAAGGATTCTCCAGGTGCCCCACCTCATGGTCTCCCAGAACTTCAGCCTAAATTAAAGGCTGCCACATTTAAGAAATTCCCAGCCAAATACAGACCATTTCAGATCCCCATGCTAAAGACACCCAGAACATTTTATTCCTTTGTGTTAATCACTAATCAAGGCTCCAAGGGCTGACCAATGTTAATAAAGCCTGGACTACTTCCTCAACAAAATGCAATACACACCCAGGGAGCCAAATTTACCTGACACACACGCACACACACATCCCCTCAAGAGTCAAGTGATGCCGTGAACATCTTTAGCCCTCTGTATTTCAGGATGAACCAAACCAGCTCTAATTCAAGGATTAGAAAACAAAAAAACTCCATCAAACCAAAGCAAAAGTATTTGTCAGTGGAGACTGTGTGACTGCCAGCTCTGCCAAGGAAGCGGGCAGCAGAACCTCCCACAAGCCACAAAACAAGGTGCACGGGAGGCAGAGCAGCACCGATCACAACATCCTGCCAGAGAACGCATGCCTCCCCCAACACGTTTTCTTCTGAGAGTCAAGTGACCTTATCAGGAATATTTGCATTTTCCAAGTGACCTGGAATATGTCCAATAGTTTCCAGGACGAAAAGAAACTAATCGGTCTCTGTTTTTCGTTGGGTTTGTACGCCTCTTACCTCTTTTCCATTCACACCCCAATACATTCCCCACAGAGGTGATCTAAAGCTGCTTACCAGACCCAGAGACCAAAGGTCCGTCTACTCACTCAAGCCTTTTGAACTTTTCAAAGCCCGCAGCCACGTACTGGCACCCATCCTGCAGGTCTCCCAGCTCAGCGATGCGGTGGCCGTGCCTGGGTGTGTAGAGGTGCCTCACAGCCAAGGGCGCATGAATGCTCTTGGTCACCTCATTCAGAAACGCCTCAAAGGTCAGGACCCGCCGCTGGTTCACTACGACCTTCCTCCCGGGGAAGAAGGGGTCACCGTTGCGATACACCACCACGTTCTTGGCTGGAGGTGCCATTGCTAAGCCACAGGAGATCATCCCCTGTGGGTCAAGCAAACTCTGCTGACCACAGAGGCAGACAGACTGACATGGGGCGCGGAGGGGAGCCCTGGCCAGCCCCCCGCTGCGCCCAAACCCTTCCGACCAGCCGCTCTCACGCTCTGCCGTCCCTTCCCAGCGCAGTCTGGCGCGACTGGCTGTCTCCATGGATGCAGGCCCAGCAGGAGGAAGTTGTGGGCCCGTCTGGAGGCCACATCAAACAACCTGCAGAGCACCTTTCTATTTGAGAACCAGGAACCACGCGGCTCTTTCATCCTCAGACACCAAGTACTGCGAGCTCCCTCACCAGCCACGGCGGCCACCAGGCTCAGATTAACAAGCTTGGAGGTACGGTACGTGCCACTATCTTTATGGCAGCAGCTCACATCGCATCCAGAGCAGCGCTGTCCAGAAGCTGTCACCCCCTTGCCATCGCTTGCTACCTGCATGAGAAGTGCAATGGATTTCTGTCATGTGTGTATTGGACAAACATCCACATCCCAGCGGACACACCACCCTTTGCATTGAACAGGTTGCCATGGGTTGAAGCGGGCTATGGACTCACTTAGCTCTGCCCAGGAGAGGAAGGCATGCCAGACAGGAATAGACAGATTCAGAGACGAGCTTCAGGAAAGCTTTTTATTCACAAACAAGTCAGCATCATCAGGAACAGAAAGATACAGCTGCCATATGGCACGAGTGACCGTTCAGTCAGCGGGAACCCTGAGTGTTTGCACAGAAGACTCTGGGTCACAGTAGAAAACCACAGCACCATGCGGAAAGTCCCTTTCCAAGAGACCTTGAATGCCGCCGAACCAGAGCAACATATAGACAAAGCGCCAAACCCCGCAAGTCCTTACTTGCTCCCTCAAGCACCAGTCCAGGTGACTCTGCCACACAGAGAGGTATTACCACAGCCAGAGACGTGCAAGTCGGGAACCAAGCCTCGGCTCCTGAAGTTTGACGTGCCATCGCTCCCCACCAACTGCACAGGAAAGCTTGGAAACTCTCCTCCTAACGTAGTACTTCAACCAGGTGTTCCCCAAAGCCTACCACGAGCCCTTGGAGATCCCAGATGTTGCAGAGCTGTGACCTGCAGAGCCATCCCAAATGCACAACTTAAGTGACCGATATGGGTCACACACAGTTCAGCGGAGAAGAGCTTGTTCCTGCAAGTTCAAAGCACCTGCTGCCTTCAGGCATTTTAGTTCCACGACAAGCAATCAGCTGGTCAGAAAGCGCCTTTTGTAAGCGACACTCTTCCCAGCCTCGATTTTCCCCTAGGACCGTCCAGCTCAGCCAACAGAAATAGGGTTCTTGTGGAAGGAGGCCTCGCTGGGACTCCCTCCAGGACACACAACAACCTCCCTGGCTTCACAGTGATGTGTAATCCCTGCTTTGACTAAATATTAACGTTTAAAAGAAATAAAAGGCTTTCTTGCCACATTCATCTGAAGTGGAAAACGTCAGCCCACAGAGCTGGAGCTCCCCTGAGCTGCTGCTGTCCATGAGGTCATGTCACGACTGTGGTGCTGCAGCTTGACTGCTTCTCCACACCCATACAAGTGCCCCACGTGCTTGGGAATGCCCTCCTACGGGTCAGGAGTCCCCAGCCTCTGTTTCAGCATCAAATACTGCAAGAGAAAGGAAACCAAGCACTAATGATTAAATCCCAGAGACCTACAAATAGGAAAGCACCCACCCTTGCAGATCTGCCAGCAAAATCATTGCACTTGGCCAGAAGATGCACGAGTCTCACCTTTCAAGCAACGCAAATAGCAGCTCGCTAAGCTAGCCGGTGCTTAGGTATATACCGTGGCATTGCACAGACAGGATAGCAATGTCCCTGTAGCAGGCCAGGAGCAAAGCTTGTAACGAGCTCCTGTTTTCCTTCATCATTCCTTTTTTTTTTTCTCCCCAGAGAAGGGAAAAAAAAAGGGCACTGCCATCATCCAATCCAATCCTTCAGTAATCAGCACCGTTCAACCCCAGCCCCACCACTCTGGCTGCAAGCAGGCACTGTTTTGGAAGATCAGGCCCTTACGTTTTTACGGCTGACGATAGCTTGTTGCAACCACACCAACTCCATGATCAAGTGATTTCTGTAGGACTGGAGACCAGACCGAGTTCGAGGAAGATCCTTTATGTCCTCAAGCGGAATTTCTGCAAAGAAATGGAAGAATAACCTATGATTAGAACAAAGATTCAGATTGCACCTACTGTCTCTACCGCACTGGGTTGTTCTAACCTCTCCAGGATATTCTCAAGGTTTTGGTTCTCCAAGGACCTACTGTGCCCCTGGCACTCACCACCAGGTCCTTCAGACCACGCAGGAGAGCGCACGCTGAGCGCAGGGTCCCGTCTCTTACCCAGGCAGGCTTCAAGGGACTCTGCCTCCAGGTTAGCGCTGTCCCACACAGAGGACACGCTGCTGCTGTTCTGCCAATCCTCGCTCTCTGCTGGGGCACCGCACCCCTTTTCAGTGCATTTATCGGCATCAGCCCCCAGATTTGGGGGGCTCATTACACCCGCAGAGCTCAGTTCTTTCTCGCTTTGCAGCTGGGCCGTAGGTTTCACACTGCTGCAGCCCCAGTCCCGTTCTGGTTCAGAGGCGTCCAGCTCCTCCTGTGGTTTTTCTGCGCTGGCCTTGTCACTCGGTACAGCCTCCCGCGGACCTGAACGCTTCCCTTGTGTTGGCTTCTGAAGGGGCAACATGTGAGAGATTGAAACATAAGGAAAAGAAAATACAAAGATCTGAAAGGTGGCTCTGCTGCGGGCCAGCGGCTCTGTCCCAGCCAGAGATCTGCTGTTAGCAGCATGACACCAACGTGCTCTGGTTTGAACCGTTGTGACCTTTTTAAAGAGTTTTCCTTCCAGAAGTGGTAAAAACATTAGAAGGCGGCACTCAGCTGCCACAGGAGCGGGTCCGACCGTTCAGTGCGACCGGCTGAGGTGGGTGCCTGGGACAAGACCCGCAGGAGTCACCTGCGCAGGTCAGGCGTTTGACTTGAGGCTGAGCTTCACCCGGAGGAAGAAATCCTCAGTCGGGGACTCAGGGGCACAAGCCAGGGAGAGTCTTAGAGGCCTTCGCTATGCAATTATCATTTTTAATTTGGTAGAATTACAGGTTCCTGGGACTATGCTGCAAAAGTATCATCTGCCCAGTCCACCAGGCC